TGCATTAGGATTCTTGTTGTATGGAGGAAGGTAATTATGGTTTGTTAACACAATATTTATGAATAATTGGAGTTTGAATCTCTCATATGACCAAATCCTACTACTCAACTCCTTCCAGGTTATTTTTCATGCTAAGACGATTCCCTATTGAATCAAAAGGAAGAAGGAAGAAGCTTCATGAGGTATTTTTCTTCCTATATAGTTCTTCTATTAAATAGCAATTCATTTTTGGTAAAAGTCTGAAATAACATAAAAGTTTAAAGTTCATTTCTATGATGTTATCAACATTACTTTTGTTTATTTGATTGATGTCGTTTCTGTTTGTAGGTTGGATCTGTCACAGCCATTTGTTTCACCTGCTTCCTTATTAGGTGCTTTGTGGTAAGTTTTTCTTTCTTGACCAAACTTTGTGATATGTTTTCAAGCTATATAATTTATTGATTGATAGGTGCTTTGTGGTAAGTTTTTCTTTCTTGGCCAAACTTTGTGATATGTTTTCAAGCTATATAATTTATTTGATTTTATATATTGGGGCAAACTAATAATCTGAGCTCTCAAGTATGAAGTATGCATGCATTTAGACAAGCTACATGCTTCATCCGGGAGGGAAACTCTGAGAGATGTATTTTTAGCCTTTTTTTAGGGGAAAAAATATTAAAATGAGGTAAAAGACTTTAAACAATATTTTCCGAGGGAAAGTCCCACACTTCATCATGTGTTTATTCCATTGATTTTCTTCCTTTTAAATCGAAAGCTTGAATTTTCCTGGAGCTTTTATTTTTCTTCACATTGTTGCTAATGATATGTACAAGACACGCATATATAGTTTCCATTTCACTAAATACTCCCAGGAATAGGTGTGAACAGTTGTATCTGATGTAAGTAAAAAGATGTAGATTTGCCTTTTGAGAGAGATAGAGAGAAGAGAGGCATGAGACCGGGCTTCACCAGAGTTCTCTCTTCCCAGGTTTTGACATAGATTGTCCTGGCTATAGAAATTGATTACAAAGTTGAATGCTATGAGTAATTTCTTGTTCTCATAAAACAAGTTATGTTAGATGGTGATCTTTGACCTACTCGTTTAGCTTGACAACAATCTTTCCATCAATCATTTGGAAAGAGAAAAAACTAACATTGTGCAGCTGATTAGTTCATTTGTTGGGTAGACATTTTCCTACTGCTTTATGTGCTTTTTTTAGGGTACTAATTTCTCTAAATGCAGGTGATTTTATCTGCTTTTGATGCGGATGTGTCACTTGATGTTTTGGATCATCCAGTTTTGAACTTGATCTATTACCTGGTATTTCACGATACCAGTTTACTCTGTAGTCCTATTCTTATACTTACGTCTTCCTAAACATGCGTTTCTGTTGATAAAATTACAGCTGGTTGAGATCCTACCTTCAGCTCTAGTGTTGTACATCTTGCGTAAGTTGCCTCCAAAGAGAGTATCTGCTCAATATCACCCAATCCGTTAGGAGTAGGATTGTTTTTCCTACAGGAAAGCACAGAGATGGTTTTGGCATGTTTCAGAGGGTTAGCTACTTTTCCAGTTGAATGATGGAAGCAGAACCACAAGTAGAACTGGAATGGTTCATGATGCATGCAATTTTTTTTTAATTTGTATGTGACATAGCAGTTTGCAGTTTTCTTGAGGGGAGATCATTGTTGATTTCTTCATTCATTATGTGATCGAATAGTTGGTATATCCGACTCTTTGTGCAATTAGTAGTTGTTTCATCAGTTTGTCCCCTTACTATGCTAGGAAATGAGCATAAAAAATTTAGAGTTATTTGAGTTGATGAATTTATTTTATAATTTAAATTTGATTTGAATTTTTTTACGAATCGAATCAAGTTTATAAAGTTTAAGTCAGAGGTTGAGATTTTAATTTTTTTTGTTTAAATCTATTTGTAAATGTTTATAATATATTGTGATATTATTTGATTTCAATTTAAATGATTTTTTATAACCATATATGAGACTTATACATTTCTTCATGATATATATATATATATATCTTATAGAGTCGAGAGATAGTATCTGCGCGGACGTGTCGAAGACAAGTATTATCACGAGCCGAGCCGAGACGGACGGAGGCGGCTCGGCTCGGCGGCGGTGCGCGAGAGTCCTCTTATTCTCTTTCACTTAACAGGGAAGTGGGAAATCCAAACCATAAGTATCATTCTCAATAGTATTTCAAATACTATGTGAGATTGAGCATTACCAACAAGGGTTCCCTGTATCATTCCTCTTACTCCTTTAACAAACCTCACAAAGCCACCATTTATGGCCGCAATGGATAAATTGATGATGTTATAACTAAGCAAGTAATGCTTTGATCAGTTGTACCAACCACCCTAACCTGTAAAAAAAAAATTCCACAACAGCCACAGTCCACCATTTACAGCAAAACATGGTTATGAATAACATTCCACCCGCAAAACCATTCAGTTCAAGTTTCTTCTTTATTATTCTCTTTAACCCTTGGTTTCTATAAAAAGAAAGAAAAAAAACATATTATATATACATATAAATTTAGGTTGCTTTAGAGGATGATTGAATCCTCTAACATTACAGACAAGCAACTTCATGAAGATTATTAGCTAGGAGCCATACCTCCACCTGTGGTAGCACCCACCCACAATATTCTTTTCCCCCTTCCCTGCCTTGTTTTTATTCTGTTTCGGATTCTGAATCAAATTAGCAACACCCTGAGATGCAATTCTAGTCTTCTTATTGGAGACCTCCTCGGCATTAGGTAATTTTAATTGAGCATCATCAACCCTAGAGGACTAACTGAACATTCCAAAGAATTCATCATATTTTCCTCAGGCGAGCCTTCTCTCTGAACCTGAGAAGACACAGTAGCCTTTGCATTACTCTTATCAGCAACGTCAACAATCTTTTCGAGGGAAACGACCCTCTTGACCTGATCCACCGCTCAACACAACGCTCAGCATGCAGTGAACCATCTTTGAGCACCACATGAATAAATATTTAATTCATTGATTGTATTATTATTTTTAAATTTTACAGGTGAAATTAAGAAATTGAACATATTAATATTTAAAAAAAACATATGATAAAAAAAATATTATCAATATAACGACTAATAATATTAAATTGTAAACACTATGTATTTTATAAAACGAATAAATAAAAACTTAATTATTTTGGTCACTATATAATTTTATATAAAATAAATATGTTCAAAATAATTTAATATATTTTCTTTTGTTAAAATCATATTTATTGTCGGTAGTAGTGATTGACTCTCGTTATAAAAGGAACTCTATTTCTATGAGTGAAGATCAAACTCTGATCACATGATTTAAGAGATAAGATGAACAATTATAATATCATATTATATTTGGGTATCTCATAATTTATGTAATATGATTTTTAATAAATAAATTATTAATTTATATATAATATTTTTAACATAATGAAATTAATCTTTCTGAAAAAGAATTAAATGTGTAAAAAAGAAATATTAAAAAAAGGGAAATATATTTAAATTTTAGTAAAATATAGTAATTAGAAATATGTTTAATTAGACCTTTTTATTTGCAACCGAATAATTAGCCAGGGATTGTACATGACTCTTTTTTACTTAAATATTCAAGATTATGCCAGGGATTAGTATTTATTGGCCATCGAATGCAATGTGATTGGTCCGTGGCAACTACACGCTCTCTGATTTGTCAGGATTTGTCATTAAACAAGAGGCGAAGTATCCTTTTTGTTTCATATCGCGTTTCCCGTCGTTTCTTCGTTTTGTTTGTTCATTAATCTCTGTTTCGATCTTGAAGAACCCCGAATCCCAGAAAATCAAATTAGCAATTTTATCGAATTGGACTTTAAATTATCTTGTTTCAATTTGTTATTGTTGGAATTAAAAGAGAATCTTCTTTGTTAAGAAGAAGAAGAAGATGGCTCAAGCTGTTGAAGAATGGTATAAGCAGATGCCTATCATCACCCGGTCGTATCTCACAGGTGCCGTAGTTACCACTATCGGTTGCTCTCTCGAAGTATGCCTCTTTTCCTTTTATTTTCCTTTTTTTAAAATATGTTTTTATTGCTTTTATTTTTGTTTTGATGTTATATTTGTGTATCTGAGCAATAGGATTGAATTGTGCCTTTAATTTCCTTTGATTAATTAGTGCTTGCCTTTTAATTTATATGCAAATGTATATGAATATTTTCGGCAGGTTTGATCTGTGCTCGTGATTTCCCATACTGTTTTTCATTTTATTATTCATGTTTTGAAATTTTATTTCTTGAGAAGCTTGTTGGGAATTTGAGCAGGCAAAACTAACCAGTAGTTTGTTCCTCTTATCTAATCTTTTTGGTGTATAATAGACAATTGGGTATTATTAGTTTTCCATCTCCATTTTAAAGGAATTTATTATATATTTGGGATTGTAATGATAATATAGTTTAATTTTCTGAATCTTTGCAGATAATATCACCTTATAATCTATACTTGAACCCTAAGCTCGTGGTTAAGCAGTACCAATTCTGGCGCCTAATTACTAACTTCCTGTACTTCCGCAAGATGGGTAAATTCATTTGCTTTTACTTATGAGTATAGTGAAATCTCTAGTTTATTATGCCTTCAGAACAATGTTGTGTAGAATGTTGTGCGTGTTATTGCTAAAGATGTATTCCCAATGGAACAAAAGAGATTTGTTTCTTTTATGTCTCCCTTCAAATGTTAGTCAAAAGTATGCAAATGCAGTTGTGTTTTGATAATTTTGAGTGGGTAAAAGTGAAATGAGGTATATTTTTTAAAGAAGATTTGAGTCCATAGTTCATACACCTCTTCCTGCCCTTTCTGTTTCCTTTCTCCTTAGTTTATTCCACCAATGACAAACATCTTTAAAATTTATAGTTTTGCAAGCATGGATATGTGATAACTTTGAATTATTGAATATGATTGAAACTGGTATTTGTTCTCAAATCATTTTATATCTTTAACACGGTATCCTTTCATTGACATTCATGATGGTAAGTATGTCTACCTTCATTTACCTGCAAAATACTGTTTTCCAGTATCCATTTTAGAATCCATCTTGTTGTACTACATGTAGGTTTATGTGTGGAGCAAACATAATCCTTTTATACATATGAGTTTCCTGGGTCTATTTACCTTTGCAGCAGCTTACTTACCTTGGGTGAGTACCTCTATTCATTCTATATTTTTTTCTCTTATTGTTCTTTGAGTATCTAGTTTCTATTTCAAATCAATTTCATGTTTCGACCAAGAAAAAAAAGGTTGCTTTGTTGGATTTTCCATTGCACTAAAGTTTTACTTTCTTATTTATGTTTGTGGTCTTGATCCTACTTCTAGTATAATAATGTATTTGCTTCTTTTCCCTTTCTTTCAGGTGCTTTTGGGATTCTCTGTCCTTGTTGGTGCTAGTGCATGGGCGGATCTCCTGGTACGTTTCCCTTACAGAGCTTGCTTTAATGTTGAAATATTGGGATAGTATTATATGGGTTTTTTGTGTTTCTCCAAAATCCATTGTAGCATGTTCAGCCAACTAGCCAAGTGGACTGAGCTATATTTTTATAATAAACCTTTTTTTCGTCAATGCTTGCCGCTGGAAAAGCTTTGTTGCGAGTTTTAGAAATGGAAAGTGGAGTTATGTTGGGGAGTAAATTTGGTGGACTGTGAGACTGCCATATAATTATCCTGCGCCCCTATAAACTTCCACCTGCTCAGTTCTCACTTTTCTTAGATCCTCACTGCTTCCATATTCAACTTTTGCTTATTGATATCATTGATACTTTTGTAGCTTTTGTTTTATGAAATTCGGTATTTGGTTTATCCAGGGAATGATCGCTGGTCATGCCTACTATTTTCTCGAAGATATATATCCACGAATGACCGGTCGTCGACCCCTAAAAACTCCGTTCTTTATTAAAGCAATGTTTGCAGATGAAGCTGTGGTGGTAGCACGGCCAGCTAATGTTAGATTTGCTCCACCACCTGCAGATGAACTGCACAGAGATTAGTGTCCCTTTGGAAAACTAGAGCAATTTTGGTTGAATGGATCTCAGAGAGGAAAGGCCTAAAGAAAATGCTTGGTTGGCCTATTTCTTAAACATGTAGCTTTAACATGATAAATTGCTGATTATGGACAATACATCATTTGGTAGAATTAGAGGTGTGTATATTTGATGTTGCTGCTTGCGCTATATATGCAGAATTGGATATGGAAATTTGTAATTAATACTTGAGCGAGTGCTTTTTGTTGTTATAGAATGTCCTTTCTCTTCGTATATATCCCATGTAGACTACCTCGAGGGTTGAGTTTTGCGATATTCCAGGTTGCAGAAGATATTTAAAAGTTTTCTAGTACAGCCAATGGTCGACAAACCTAATTCAATATTTCCTACTTGGAATCAAACTTTGATACAACAATATTCCCCAGGTTCGATTCCCAAACCAATCACAGCCCACTGGAAAGGCTTACAATCTAATTAAAACGAATCATTGACTAGGACACCAGTAGCCAACTAAACCAGTAACAAAAGTATATCTCCAAATATAAGAAGCCCTTGCAAGAACTTCAACCCCTATTGGGCACATCAGCAAGGTCAATATAGAAACCACTCCTCCTGAAAGTTCTTGGCGCAGTTACTATCAAGATTCCCTCGATATCTATCGAACCAGGCAGCCGAAATTTCCTCATGAAGTCCATTGCTGGCTTTGTCGATTCATCGATCCCCTTGGTCCTAATTATAAGATCTCTATAAGATCTCAAGTCTTAAACTTCACTTTTATCTCCTCTCTCACACCTAATGCATGAAAATGGATGTCCCTTGTTCCCATATGTAATGGAGTAAGGGGAGGTAAGATAGTAGGTTACCCCCAATACTAGATTGAGAGCAACTTCCGTAGGAGACCTCCAAATTATGAAATGCCCTCCATAGGACTCGATCCCACGACCTCAAGATTAAGAACCTTGTGTTCTACACACTGAGCTGGATGGTCATTTCATCCCTAATAAATTTAGGTGTCAAATTTAGGTCACGCCTGGTGGGACTCGAACCCACAATCGTCTGATTAGAAGTCAGACGCCTTATCCATTAGGCCACAGGCGCTCGACGATAGTCTTAGTGTCAAATTTTATTTAAAAATAATATGAGTCTATTCCACAATAAATTCGTCGTGAGTGCGTGTTGTCCACGAGATCATCTAACAATATCGTAGCCAAGAAAAATCCATTTCTAATTTTACGTTTATTTTTTATTCCCACCGATTTTGCCCTCTTTCTCCATGCTGAAACCACATCCGTAACCATGTCTTCCTTGCTAGCCTTCCCCAGATACAACCAAGCACGTTCTTCCCAAAGCTCGATTTCGTGAAACCCATAACCCCAAAACCTCCAAACTCAAGTATATTCAAGGTCAGAGCAGATGTTGGTTTCGATCCTCAAACCCTCACGTCCGATCCGAGCTCTTCATCAGGTAAGTCCTACGATGACAAAATCCGGGAAATTCTTCGAAATCGTGATTATGATAAAAAAAAATTGGCTTTGCTGTGGACATCACTTCGTTTGCGATACCCAAAGGGCTTTCTGAAGAGACAATTCGTTTAATTTTTTCTCTGAAGGAAGAACCGGATTGGATGCTGGGGTTTAGATTGAATGCTTATGAGAAATTTTTGAAAATGAAAGAACCCAAATGGTCTGATAATCGATACCCGCCTATTAATTTCCAGGATATTTGTTATTACTCTGCACCCGAAAAGAAGCCAACTTTGAATGAACCCAATGGTCTGATAATCGATACCCGCCTATTAATTTCCAGGATATTTGTTATTACTCTGCACCCGAAAAGAAGCCAACTTTGAATAGCTTAGATGAGGCTGATCCTGAACTTCTAAAGTACTTTGATAGCTTTAATACAGCTGTCTTTAGTAATGGGTCATTCTGTTATATTCCAAAGGATACAAGATGCCCTATGCCGATTTCAACTTATTTCCGGATTAATGCATTGGAAACTGGACAGTTTGAGAGGGCTTTGATTGTTGCTGATGAGGGAAGTTCTGTGGAGTATTTAGAAGGATGTACGGCAACTTCTTATGATAGGAATCAGCTTAATGCTGCTGTTGTTGAGTTTTATTGTGCTGAGGGTGCAGAGATTAAATACTGCACTGTGCAGAATTGGTATGCGGTGATGAGGAAGGAAATGGTGGGATTTATAATTTTGTTACTAAGCGTGGACTTTGTGCTGGAGATCGATCAAAGATATCTTGGACCCAGGTGGAGACAGGTCTGCTATAACTTGGAAGTACCCACAAATAACTATCAGCAGGCCGACACGGGTACAAAAACGATACACAAGGGGAAGAATTCAAGAAGTAGGATTATCTCGAAGGGTTTCAGGTTCAATCAAAGGCAGAGAATGCTAAAAATTCCTCGCAATAATGCTGCTGCAAACACCTATCCTTACATTCAGGTGCGTATATTGATTTTCTGGCTATTTCCCCTTATATTATGTTAAATTATGTGTGTCCGTACATGTTTTTATTAGCTCCTTTTTATGATTGTATCATTTCGGGTAAGTAGGTGACTCCCCTCTCTTTTATTTGCTTTTCTGTTTACCTGTGGTAATATACTACTGCAAAAAACTTGAGCTTTTGGATTGATATTTTGGCATACATGTGTTTTCCTGTCTATTCAACTTCCTGTCATCCGTGTCTAACTGTCATGCTCTATGTCATAATCGATTTTCACCCGGGTACGAAATTTATTTGGTTGAAAAAAGTAATGTGGATAAAAAAATGGTGTTTTAGAAATATTTTGGAGTCGCCATTGATTTTTTTGGGTTAGGTAGGTCAAATACTTAAAAATAATCTTTTAAAATAGTTTTTAAAAAAACATAATTTAAACTGATCTGCGTATAAACCAAAAAGTCGTTCTTTTTTATAATAAAAAAAGGATTCGTGGTCGATTACGTTTGGGGAAGGATTAGCACCCCACAACGTCCAAAATTGGTACTTCATTAATTATAATTTGTCTCTATTATTGAAAAAATTTTAAAAATATATTTAATTATTAATCATGTTATTTCAAATTTATTTTAAGAATATATATATATATATATATATATATATTTTTATAAATAAGATATTTATTTACTTAGAAATATCAGAAAGAGACTTATAGGTGCTTTAAGACAGCTCTTTTCTTCGATGTTAAAAATAAATAAATATTAATAAAAACATTTCTATAAAAATAATTAAAATAAAATAATATATATATAAAAATAGGATATTTATTTATTTAAGAATATTAGAAAATGATTTTTAGGTGTTTTAAGACAGCTCTTTTCTTATATATTAATAAATAAAATAAATATTAAAAATGTTTCTTAAAAATTAATATATATTTATATGATAAAAAATATCAGAAAACGGACTTCTAGGTGCTTTAAGACAGTCATTTTCTTTAATATTATTAAAATTTATTATTATAAAAAAATATTATTTATTATATGTATATGTTTATAATAATAATAATAATATATTGCAAATAAACATATAAAATTAAATCAACAACAAAAATAAATGAGATTAAAACTATATAATAAAAGCTAATAATTTTAAAGTTAATGACTAAATTAAAATGTATTAAAAATAAATATCTAATTCGTAATTAATTTATTAAAATTTTAGTGTCTGATTATGCTATTTTACATATTTATTAATTTGGTGACTAAATTAAAACTATATTAAATTCAAAAATTAATTTAAAACAAATTAAAACATGCTTTCTGGATTAAAATATTAATTATTAAAATTAAAGGACTAAATCTGTCATTTACCTAAAATATATATAAAAGCATAGCAATGACTAAATTATAAATAGCCTCCTAAATTAGAGGGATTATTTCGTATTTTCCCTATTTTAAATGAATAAAGTAATGAACTCTTAAAGTCTAGGGACCTGACGTGTGGTTTACCTAAACATTTTATAAACTTAAAACCATCTTCTTCCTCTCATTTTTCACACGGCAGAACATCCAAAGCTTTCAACTCTTCTCTTTTCTGTTTTTTTATTTAATTAACTTAATTTGTTTTTTTTCCTGAAAATAAATAAATAAATAAAATATAATGCTGAAAAAATGAATCAAATGTAAAAATAACCTTTGTAATGCTTTTTCCTTTTCAATTTGCTGTGTATTTGCTCATCCTCCTCCTTTTTTTTGAATTGTTCTGGGGTTTTGATAGCCCCAATTTACATGTGAACAGAAATAAAATATTATCCTTTGTTTTGTGATGATGAATTGATTCAGGACGTGGAGCATTGGTGGTCGTGGGTGTGGCGGCTGAGCTATAACGAGGAGAGACAACTGGTGAGGTGTTGGACGGTTGTCGTTGTTGGAGAGCTACTGAAACGTGGAGGGGGCAGTTGGCTTCTGGAGCTGCTGGAATGTGCAACGTGGAGGGGCTGCTGGAATGAAGAGGTAAAAATGGTGATTACAGCTGCCTCTCTTTGCTCGTTGTTGTGGAACAGGAATGGAGCAAAGACATAAAACACCATTTTTAGCTTGAAATGTTTATACTTCTGAGCTATAAGTTCTTCTCATTATGAATTTTTTCACTGGGGATGATAATTTATCTCCTTCTGTGATGTAATCATGCAAAGACTGAACAAGTTCTTCTCGGATGAACTTCTTCTTCCTCTTCAGATAAGTTCTTTTCATCATGAACTTTCTCTGAAAAGTTGATGTTGATCTATCTCTTTCCGTAATAGAGTCGTGCAAAAGGTTGAACAAGTTCTTCTCATTATGAACTTCTTCTTCCTCTTCAGATGAGTTCTTCTCATTATGACCTTCTACCTGGCAATGCTAATCCATCGAGTGATGAATTGAAGCAAAATGTTGAACAAATTCTTCTCATTATGAATTTCTTCTTTCCTCTTCAGATGAGTTCTTCTCATTATGAACTTTTACCTGGCAATGCTGATCCATCAAGTGATGGATTTGAGCAAAAGGTTGAACAAGCTCTTCTCATTATGAATTTTTTCTTCCTCTTCAGATGAGTTCTTCTCATTATGAACTTCTACCTGACAATGCTGATCCATCGAGTGATGAATTGAAGCAAAATGTTGAACAAATTCTTCTCATTATGAATTTCTTCTTCCTCTTCAGATGAGTTCTTCTCATTATGAACTTTCTCTGGAAATGCTGATCCATCAAGTGATGGATTTGAATCTTTGCTAAAATCTTTGAAATTCCTGTCAAAATTCAACATGGATAAAATGAATGAAAA